AGAATGATAGGCATGCTTATGCACAGGAACACTTTCTTTTTCTGTCTTTCATTTTCTCCCTTTGTGTCTCCATAGTCTACATCTTCCCTACTGCTACTCTTATAATTATCAGGCACAGTTATCACCAAATTTTCTGGGTTATCTTCTATTATAGATGAACCAAGAGACACTAAAACATTTAAAGAGCAATCATGGTAGGAAAGCACAGGAAGAAAAAGGAAAAGCAGCACAGAACTACAATCCTTTATGCTTTGACTGGCATTTCAGTCTGCAAACAAGAGAACAGCTACTCCCAGATCATCAGACATCTATACTACCTGCATATCAACTGGATAAAAATATGTGCTTTCTTACATAGAATGAGGGTTCCATTATTTAATCTACTTAAATTGAGTGAGTAAACTTGAGATATGCCTGAATGTGACTGACTAGGGAAACATTGTCTTTCATGAAATTTTTTCCTAAAGTTATTTTTAATGGTAGTGCAGGGATGAACATTCATTATCTCTGCTGCAACTATCTTCTAGTCTGGCATATGCAAGGCATAACAGGGAAGAGATTCCATAGGAATAGCATCTTACTCTTCAAGGTGCTAATTAAACAGCCTGTTCTCTTCATGTACTGCACTGCTTTTGCCCCTCTTCTATGCAGGTTTTTGAGAAGAGGAATCAGTCATCTTCCTTGCTAATCTATCTGTGATAGGTGTTTGAGTATCTACATTGCAACAGCTTTGCAACCAAATTTAGCAGTTCTAATTTGTTATACTGATTTTTTGTTGTTGTTATTTTACACCAGAGCTATTCTAGAAATCAGCATGCAAATTGTAGAAAAATAAATCTAGAGATATTTTGTTCCCCCTGTAAAATAAAATATATTTTGAATGGAGAAATCACCAAAAAGAGGATTCTCTTAATATAATTTGATTTATCTTTATTCATTTTTAACATCCTACAGCTAGGAAAGATAGAATGTTTCCCAAGTGAAGAGCCAGAGGCTTATGGTCTATCACAGAATTTTTACAAATTATTTTTCAAGACAGTGTTTCTGTTAGGTTAGGAGAACAGAACTCTTCAACAGTATATCACAGACTGAAGTGGTTCATGCTTTAAACCTTGTTATGAAGGAGTTTTTCCCATTATGGCAAAAACTGTATAAAGAAACTACAACCTCAGAAGCCCATCCCTCCTTGAAGATGCCTGACTGGAACTTGGCACGGTGAGTTAAGCAGTCTAGATAAGATAAATGCAACATTGTGTTCAATCATCTCAAGTCTTCGGGAGAAACAAACAAGGCTGAGGGAAAGGAATGCACCCACAAGAAAGCCAAACCCAGCAGAGAACCATCCCTGGCTGGCTTTGGGGTGGGGGAGACCACAGCTCTCAGAGGCCAGGTTTGCACAGACTCCCTCACAATTCAAGGGTGAGGAGGAGGTTTCAGATATGTGGTGTAACCTCTGCTCAGAGGCAGTGAACACCCATCCTCCCTCACACAAACCAGCCCAGCTGTGGAACCCCCAACCCCACAGGCCACATCCACGTGGGAGGCAGCTGAGGGGGTGCCATAATCCATCAAAGATCCTGAAAGTGCATCCCAGAGGCCTTGCACCACAGGAATGCATGGATGCAAAATGATGCAACAGATCCAGAGTCTGCTGGAAGAGACTGCCTCCTTCCAGGGGAGGTACCTGGGCATTCTCAGCTGGCCTGGCCTGAGTGTTCATTAATCCAAGAGACACTTGGATTAATGGATTAATTGGATTCTATGCCTTTCAGGGGGGACCTTCACCACCAGGAAGACCAGCTGGGAGAGGATCAACAGAACATTGTTGGGATTCACACAGTAGTGATATTTTCTTTGATCTGTGTCTGTCACTCTCTTTCTGTCCCCCCACCTCTTTTTTATTTCTTTCTTTCTCTCTCTCTCCTTTTCTCTCTCTCTGTCTCTCTCATATTTATAATTAAATAAAATCCATATTATTTACTTTGGCATATGGTCTTGTTCGCACCTTAATTCAAGCAGAGGCATTTCTAATAACTCTAAAAATTGGACCATAACACAGTGATGGTGCAATAATAAAAGAGGTAAACTCATTATTAGAACAGATTATCATCAGCACTTCACATTTGCAATAGAAAGTTTCATTTAGAAGAGGAAGAATTCCATTGCAATGTACAAATGTAGATTTATCTAAAATATTGCCTTATAAAATGAGGTCAGTCTTTCATTTTATTAGTTCCTGGGATTGCTACAAAACATCCAAATCTTGAAATCATGTTGCAATTACACTCACTTTTTCAAGGCTTTTCTATACAAAGAACTTGACTAGAAAAGCTATCACAAAATAAGAGAGCTATTCTTGACTCGCATTTTGTGTGCAGATGTTAATTATAGGCTATTTTTATTATTCTAAAAAGGAGTGTCTGTGGAAAGTTCTCCAAGAATAACTGTTAAACTGAGCATCTCAAATTCCTCCATTTGGGGCTCTATGTGTGTTATTTAATGAAAACATTTCTACTCCAACTTTAAAAGGTAAAAAATATGGATAGGAGCCTTGTGCCCTTCTAACAAAGTACTTAAAAGTACTTTACAATTGTTGAGCAAAGTACATAGAGAAAAACTGTATATATTAAATGAACTATATGTACTACAACCACTTTTCCAGTAATTCTGTAAATGTCTTCAAAATACTAACATTTAACTGCTGGTGTTTCCTGTAGTTGTATAAAGCAAGTGGAGAAACCATAATCTAGTCATTGCTGAAATAAAAGAAGGGAATTGAAAGAAAATGAACTGTACTAGAAAAAGTCAGAGAAATGTGGGGGAAGCACTAGGAATTTGCTTCACCTGCAAGAGAAATGAAATAGTGAACAGAGGAAAGGAACTTTAGTCTGACCTCATGCTTGTATAAAACCTTTTCTTTTAAATGGATTTACTAGCACAGTAAGAGCTGTGTTAATGAATCACAGAATCTCAGAAAGCTTTAGGTTGGAAGGGACCTTGAAGTCCATCTCATTCCACCCCCTGCCATGGGCAGGGACACCATTCATTAGACCAGGTCACTCAGAGCCCCATCCAGCCTGGCCTTGAACACCTCCAGGGATGAGGCAGCCACAGCTGCTCTGGGGAATCCGTGCCATCATGCTCACTGTAAAGAATTTCTTCCATTTGTGTAAACCTATGTTTTCCCTCTTTCAGTTTGAACCCATTATTCCTTGTCCTGTCACTACATTTTCTGATGAAGAGTCCCTCTCCTGCCTCCCTTCAGATACTAGAAAGCTGCTGTGAGTTGTCCATGCAACCTTCTCTTTTCCAGGCTGAACAGCCCCAAATCTCTTAGCCTGTGTTCATCAGGGGGGTGCTCCAGCCCCCCATCCCCTTGGTGCCTGCTCTGGGCTGGCTGCAGCAGGTCCCTGTCCCTGCTGTGCTGGGAGCCCAGAGCTGGATGCAGCCCTGCAGGTGAGATCTCACCAGAGTGGGGTGGAAGGGCAGAATCCCCTCCCTGTCCTGCTGCCCACAGGACTTTAGATGCAGCCCAGCACAAGGTGAGGGTTTTGGGCTTCCAGCACACATGGCCAGGGCATGTTAATTCTTCATCAACCATCAGTATTAATAACATCCTGTTGCCTGTCCTTTAATTTAATTTCATACTGCCATTTCTTAACATTCCCCACGTTTATAACTTTTCCACCAGACTCTTGCCATATTTAAATGTTATATCAAGACAACATTTCCATCACTGTATGACTAAATAGTCAAACAGTCCCACTGAAATCAATGAACCTTTGTACTTGCCTAAAGCTATGATGTGCTGGGACACACAAAAACTTTTCTGTTTTCAGTGGGACAGTTTTGATTTTATTAAATGCATGTCATGATGCCAGTAATATATACTGGACATACATACCTACATATATGCAGGCAGATTTTTTTAAAGAAATATTAAAATTTCTTGTGCTCTGTATACATTTTTTCCACGTGAAAAATAAACTAAGAAGATTTTGCGATGAAGAGTATTGTGGCATCCTAATTCCTTGCTCTCCAGTTAAAATAGGTGTTAGAGATTTTATTTATAAATGATCTTTCTTCATTTTGTTGCCCTCTAACAAAATATAGCCGACATTGCTGTTCTGATTACCAAAAAAAATACTTGTGATACTTTTCTTCTTATAGAACTGATTTACATCAGTGGTAATGCATTTTTAAGATGTCATTGGAAACTACTCAGACTATTAACTGTCAAGATGAGTAATTTTCCTTCATTCATAAATTTAAAGAACCATTACACCACATGTATATTTAACAAAAACCTTTCCTAATCTGGTACAAAATAATCACTTAATGAAAATGTTTTGAAGGTCACTGTGTGACCCGTCTCCTGCCCTAGGTGGGATTCTGTCCAATCCCGCTGTACAGAGAGGCACAAGGAGTCACTGTGACTTCTTTCGCCTTAAAACAGCGCCTCGCCTCGCCCTCACATGGCTTTTTTTTTTGTTAGCCGGAATATCCAAATGTTTGTTCCGTGATTTCACCCCGTTATCCCTACTTCCTCCTTGAGGGAACCCGGAATATCCAAATGTTTGTTTCGTGATTTCACCCCGTTATCCTCCTTCCTCCCTGGGGGGCGATTTGCCTGAGGGAAGCGCACCGACAGGGACAACGCTCTTCTTTGAGAAATTAAATCTTTTCCTAACGAAAAGTTTATTCTGTTGCAACAAATGTCCTTGAGTTTATGAAGATGTCCCCGCTTAAAAACAAATAAATAAATGAACGAAACGGAGAGGACTTCTGGGTTCAGCCCAGCGCAGTGCCCGGGCTGCGGGGGCGGCGGAGGAGAGGGATGCTCTGGGCACCGCAGCCCGCCGCGGCTCCCCGCTCCGGGCGGGCGGCCAGGGCACATCCCCGCCTCAAGCCCCGGAGGAGGAGACGCCTCCTCGGACACGTTAAAAGTTTGGGCGGCTCCGGCTCCGGCTCGGAGGAGGCAGAGCCCGGCCGGGCGCTGCGAGAGCTCCGCGGGCTCCGAGCCCCCGGCCCCGGGCACCGCCCCCCGCCGCCGCCGCCGCGGGAAGATGGCGAGCCGCAGCCTGCGCCTGCTGCTCCTGCTCTGCCTGGGGCTCCTGAGCTGTAAGTGTCCCTGTCCCGCCGGGATACCCTGTCGTCCCCGGGCCGCCCGACCCGCTGGAATCTGTGTCTGTGTGTGTGTGTGTGTGTGTGTGCGTGTGTGTGTGTGTGTGTGTGTGTGTGTGTGCGTGTGTGTGTGTGTGTGTTGAGGGGGATGGCTCCCAGAGGTGCCGCTTCCCTCCCTCATCCCGGAGCGAGAAGAGCCGAGCGAGCCGCGTCTCCAAGAACGAAACGCCACAAGCGCGTCCCCCGCCACGGCCGGGGCGCTGCGCGCTGATTCTTTCCATGTGGCTTTTTCCATGTAACCTGTTTAAGGCCGGCCTGGCTAAGTGCAAGTCAGCCGCCGTCTGCCGCCGTGCAAACTTTACGATGCGGGCTGTTAGTTTGTTTTTCTGGTGGCCTTTGCAAGGTGAATGAGCGAGGGGCGGGAGGGCGTTTTTTGTTGCCAGCACTGGATGCTGCATCTTCGGAACAGAGTTGTTTCCAGTATTTTTATGCTCTTAACCCCTTAAAAACAAAAGGGTAAGGTTAGAATAAGTTGAGCAAAGATTCCCCAGCTGGAAAGCACGCATAAGTAATAGGGAAAAGAGATATGTGCAGCAGGTACCCTGCAGAGAGCCACTGAATTAACTCTACTGTTAGTACTGCCAGTTGTGATAAGGCTGTCACTTTCAGATCATGTCTTACAGTGCTTCTGTTCAATGCTTTTTGTATCTTACTGATGTTCAGGGAAAGGGCAGTACATGAAAATACTGTTTTGAAAATAATTATGTAGCACTGTCTTCCAATGAAATAACCACCTAGGACCAGCCCAGGATGGATTCTCAATCCATTGTGGATGTGGAACATCCATGGTACTGATGCTGGGTATATTTTGAGGTTTACCTTTCATTCCTCCTAACAGAACATTACCTAACAGAAAGCTCTGTGTGTGTAAACTCTCTTTTTTTTTTTTTTTTCAGAGTCCTGCAGTGGAGATACTTGAAATTATGTATGTCTGATAGGTCTTTGGCTTGGAAATTTTTTTTCCTCTCCTTTTTCTCCTACAAGACCTTATGGAAATGTTGGGCTGTTAAATGAACAGCTAGTGCAGAAATTCTCTTTCACGTAGTAACCAATAATGATAATACGCATGGTTTTCTTTTTTTGTTTTTTTAACTTCATTTCTTCTTAATTGCATGATATATCTGAGCAGGAGAAACTGCTGTGATTTTTTTTGGTGACAGGTTTCAGTGTGTTCAGGCTGCTCAGCCTCCTGGTTAGTTGTCTGTTGGCAGTGCTGGCTTTGCCTGCTAAGGAAATGATAGAGCAGTGCAATACAGTGCATCAAAGTCTGGTGCCTACATTGTTATCAGACTTGGAGATTTCTTCTTGGTGGGCTTTTTTTTCCTTCCTGTCCCAATTCCAAAGAAACACTAGATGGAAAGCAAGTTTACAAGCAAGGTGCTCATAAGGAGTCTTTTCGTGAAGAAAGTGATCGTAGGTGCATGGGTGTGCAGATGCCTATTGTTTGTGGGAGCCAGAGGAAACCCAGGAAGAAATCCAGGCAACCAGAAACCTGCTGCTGCTCCTGTGGCTGGAGTGTGTCTACATGAACAGTAAGGCTGAGTAATTCAGGTGTCCAAGTCAGGCATATGGGCTGAGCAGTCTCTTATGTGGGACCCATGTGCTCTGGAGATGGTGGGGAATGGGCAGAAACCAGCGAGGAAAAGGAAGGAGTAGTTGATATCTCACAAACAGCATAGGGGTTGGCCTCTTCTCCCAGGCAGCCAGCAACGTGGCAAGAGGACACAGCCTCAGGGTGAGTCAGAGGAGGATATCAGGAAGGACATGGAAAAGGTTGTTAAGCATTGGAATGGGCTGTCAGGGAGGTGGTAGGGTCACCATCCCTGGAAGTGTTCAAGAAACAACTGGACGTGGCATTCAGTGCCCTGGTCTAGTTGTGAAGGTGGTGATTGGTCAAAGGTTGGACTCAATGATCTTAGAGATCTTTTCCAGCCTAAATGGTTCTGCAGTTCTGTGGTTAAATTGTGGAGCAGGTATAGAGAACTTTCTTGGTAGCTGAGCTGCAGAAATCAAAAGCTGTGTAAGTTGGTCACAGGGCATCAGCGTAGCCAAGGCAGATGATGTTTGAATTGCTTTTCATTGAGTACTTGCTAAGAAATATTCACGACCTGCAGAAACTGTAGTTTCTGTGAGCTAATCTTCCCTTCCACCTTTAATTTTGGGAAAGTAAGGGAGCTGGGAGTCTTTAATCATGTTCTCTTTCAGCACAAGCTTCTGGAATTGACGTCTCAAAGTCGTCAAAGGTGCCACAGCCTAAGACTTGTGAGCTCTGTTGGCAAGACAGAATAGGTACAGAAATTGTTATTAATTTCTAATGGCTCCGTGGGAGGAGATAGTGTGTACTGACCAAATGGCCTTTCTGAGATTCATCTAGGTGTGATTTTTTTCTTAATATTAGTGCACATTGAAATTAGACTCCAGGTGGTGATGCTGGAAGCAAATGCAGTACAATATGTGTGTGTGAGGACTATGCAGAGGCAATAAATAGTAGTCTTACCTAATTATTTGATGGAGTTCACTGGGGTAGTTTGAGCAGTAAGTAAGGTGATATTTTGTTTATTTGTTTTGGCTCAAGAAAACCCCACTCCTTATTTCTCAGAAATCTTTCACTCAGATGCAAAGATTCTAGACCAAAGAAGCCTTTTGTTTCAAAAAAAATCATAAAGCATGACTGCATTGCTGTAGGAATTGACAGTGGAAGTGTTTAAACCATGCTTTCTTGACTGTATGGGATACACAACAGATGTACTCAAAATTGAGACGATTGTCAACTCTCAGCCTTTTGTTGAACCCTCTTTTTTTGGCTGGATGAGCTTGGTAGGAACTGATTTCTAAATTAGGCCATATTCAGGTGAGATGGGATTTCTTAAATTTGTAAGACTGCATAGTTCTCTAGTAATATCCGTTCAACATAATGCTATAAAGCAGACAGCCTGGTTTTGGAGGAGGAGTGGGGGAAGAGGCATCAACTGAATGCTCATTCTCTTGCTGGTTTAGGTGAGAAGCAGTATTTCTTTGCTAGAGGCTGCTCAAGGTTTAGAAACATGCACAGACTCTTAGACACTACAACATAAGTTGTAGGAGGATAATAAATTGCTAATATATAAACAAACAAATGAAAACTAGGTACAAAAGGCAATGTTTGTTTCTAGTCTTCAGCTTAACATTTTCCATTTATGACTGTGGTGAGACTGCACAAGATACCCCTTTGCTTCTAAAACTGACACAAACTGACATGGCAGGAAAGACTATTTCTGTCTTTAAAAGGGATACATGCTTCTCTCTAGCTTACTTAATAACCTTTACAATTTTGCCTTCTTGCTTAGATCCTCACGCTCAGAAGAAACTGTCTGTGAGTTATTGGTATCTCTCTCAGAAATCATGGCTTTTGCTGCATTTCAAAACAGCAAGTCATGCTGTTCTCCTTAAACCTGGGCGTGCTGCTTAGAAGGGCTCTGTATTCCTGAGAGGGCTCAGCCACAAGTGCTGCTGCTCTGTCTCTTTCTGTCTCTCCAGCAGAGAGGAGGCAGAGAGAGCTCCTCCTTGGTTGCCCCCATGGTATCATTCTTCTAGGCTGCTGGCCCCACAGACTGCTATTGGATGCCCAAAAGAGAAAATGAAGGTGGCTGTCTTCCCTCACTGTATAGAGGAGACAAGAAACATGCCTGGAAATGTTACATCAGGACAGTTGCAATTCCTTGTTTCTTTTTTAAGGTGGATGAATGCAAGAGAAGGATTTGCTTTTGTAATTGCTTGGCCTCTGAGGTCCTGTTTTCTCAGTTTTAAAGTTGCAACAATTCTTTGTTCATGTTGTAGGATACACATTTCTGGTAATTGTGAATATCATAGGGCATCTGGCAGTAATAATGACAGTTAAAGCTACCACTGTGATTCACAAATCTAATTGAGCCTGGATGAGGTCTTCCCATTGGCTATTTAACTGAATTACAGAAAGATATTTTTGTGATTATTTCCTGTATTACACCTGTAATTCCTGCTGCAGCCTGTTTTGGTAGCTGCCAGGCTCTGCTTCAGAAACTGGCTGATGCCAGTGCAAATGATTTGGTGAGAATACAGAAGTAGCTGAATTTTGACATCATCTTTTCAGTTGATTGATTTATCAGAACACCTGGTTTCATCTTTCATGACCTAGAGCAACCAGACTTGTCTGTGTTCACTGGCTTCACAGTCCAAATGTTATTTGGGGTGTGTGCAGACCTGTTTTTAAAGAAATGAACTAAAAACATTACAGTAGACACCCTTCCTCCAAGAGTGCCTCAGGTTCTTTAATTTCTTCTCAAGTGCTGGTGGTCACTAGGAAGAAGTCTGTAAGACAGAAGTCCTCTTGTGCAGTATGGGAGAATCTTCTTGTACATCTGATATTAATAAAATTCAATTTCCTCATAAATTCACATGAGTAAATAATAGTAGTATTTCTTCACTGAAGATAGACAGTGACATGCATGAGAACCTTCTGCAGTAGCAGTAACCAAGCTTCCTTTGTTTGAGGGGGAAGAGATTTGGGTTGGTGGTGCTTTTAGAGAGACAGGAACAGCTAGTAGAATAGTTCTGCAGTTGGGATGTAAAACTGTCCATCTGGTATGATCTACTTAGAATCCATCAGCACTCAAAGTGTAATCTTCATGTTGGAGCACTTCTGAAGACACTTGCTCCCTGCACATGGTGAACCCTTTAGGAGCACTTTTCTTAAAGTAAGGCTTAGTGTCATATACTTTCCCTTAGAAATGCTAGAGGTGACTCCAGTACAAATGCTTATGTAAAGGAAGGTTACTTAGAAAATAAATATCTTGTCTATTAAAGCAATTGAAGCAAAGGCAGACATATGTATTTGTCCTTGCAGACTGTTTGACAGGGCCATATGGAATGGCTAAATTCCCTTGAAGTTATATAAGGATATCAGGAAAAACAAAATTTGC